AAATGTGAGAAGCAAGGCTAGCAAGGGACCTAACAATGACGGCATCACATTACTCATCCTCTTGGCTCTGTCTCACTAGTGGTTTAGCACCTTTGTGGGCTTGGTTTTGATAGCAAGAGAGATGTGACTTTAAGTCAACAGGATATTAGGAGAAAAAGAGTGGAAGAACTGCAAGACTGAACACAAATCTGCTTCTAGATGGGATTTAGGTTTAAATAAGTGCAGTGTATTTTGAATGCCACCATGTGCACAGCGTAGTGGTCTGGCTCTTTAGGACAGCATTTGCTATGCTGCAGCAGGACATGTATGTGGTTGGGCTATGAACAAACCAGAGCACTCCTGGCTTGCCTGGATCCCAGCCAGCAAAGGATGCTATAAAAGCCTGTCTGGCTTACAACGCAATTTTGCTAAGGTTAGAACATTGCTTGCATTAGTGAAAAACAGACAGTAGTCTTGAGATTAAGGCAGGAAATCTGCATTCAATTCTTAGCTCCAACAAAGACTTTCCTTATGTGGTCTTGGGCAAGCCAAGCAAAACTCCCATGCTTTGTAGCCTGAACTTGTATGAGAAGAATTAAATTGCTTTCTGCTCTTTGTCTTGACTACTTAGTGAGCACTTGGGGAAGAGAGAGGCTTTCACTCTGTGTTTAGCATCAGTTTGCAATATTCCCTCAACATAAATAACAAGAAATAATAAATTAAAATACATATTGTTATACAAGTTATACAACGAAGCCCAGTGAAACTGGTACTCGGTGTAGTTGGGCACATTGGGTCATTATCTCTCAGGACCATCTTACATTGCTGCAATGCTGCAAGACTGGAGGTGGCAATGCCAGGCCATTCTGTGGTGTTTATTCAGTGGTTATCTGTATCCATGGTCAGCACATCTCACCTCCTGCCCTCCAGTCTGCCCAGAAAGACCAAGAAGAACTTGAGTTAGGTAAGGGAATCAATTACAGCCCTGGAGAGCAGGGATGATGAGGTTTGCATTTAAGGTGGAGAACATCATGTACTACCAGCTATGAACTGCCTGGCTCTGGCATCAGCTTTGCCCTGGGAAAGGAGAGGTGGTGTGAGACAGGAGGAGCTCAACTCTCCTTACCCTTAGGGATGCTGTATTTACTCTGAGTAGATTTATGCATGAGATGTGTTTTCACTAGCAGAGTTTGTTTCTCTGCTGCATTTTTGCTCCTAGCACATGGACTCTTTTTTTGAGCAAGCAGTGGGCAGGCGGGACTGAGAGAGCAACACACACAAACCAGGGAGTTTGGGTTTATTTCCAAACAGGCACACACAGAACTGTAGGGGAGTACAAGAGGGAGAGGGCAGTATATCCTCTCACTCCACTCTATAAAACCTAACTTCCTAGGCTGACCCAGGCACCTAAGACTGAAGGCAAAAATATAAGCTACATGACTAGCGGGAAGAGAAAGAGCCAGCAGGAAAAATCTATCAGAGCTTTCCATGGTTCAATCAGTCAGAGCCTGCTTCACTGGGGAAACAATCAATTAACCACTTCCACTAGAGCAGCCACAAACATGCTATTCTGGAGGCAGTAAATCTTTGAGTTTATTTGTTCTCAGTTGCACTCTCAGCTTATTTACAACATCACAGGAATCTTCCGCCTTGTTTATCCTCACTTCTCTAGGTCTCTCCCAAGGATCTTTCTATCCATGATGATCAGTGAAGAGGAACGCTTGTGGACTAACAGTTTCCAGCTTCACTGCAAATCCTTATTTCCCTTAAAGAGGCAGCCAAAACAAATTGTTTCCTCCAGGCATCTGGAGGGCATTACGCCTTTAACTGTCCATCTGATTTCCAGCTGTCAATGCATTTTGTCTCACTTCAAGGCAGATGGTTTTGGTTTAGGATGTTTTGGCCCAACCAGTAGTCAAAGAGCCCTGCAGTACATGAGTTAGGCAGGTCCCTGTCCTGAGGAGCAAAATGTAGCAGGCAAATGAGAGGCAGATGACACCAAAGCTAAGGGATGAGGCTGAGAGCACTCAGCCCAAGGCCCCCTGAAACAGAAAGGTGCAGGAAAGGACCTAAGCATGGGCAGTCCCACAGGTATGGTAAAGAGGGAGGTGTGAGACAGCCTGGTTAAAAATGCACAACAGGAGGATTGAGAAGATGTGGCCAAGTGGTGCTGAGAAGGTGTGCCTGCAGAGGGAGAGGAAGCTGGCAGATAAAGGTGCACAGTGGGTCATGGTGATGGTCCCCCTCAGCACCTCATAGGCAGATCTCGAAGCGCTCAGAGCAGAAGGGTCCCAGCGCACTAGCGAAGAAACTGAAGTACAGAAAAGATAGGGTAGAGATCAGATATCCAAACCACAGGCCTGTGTTGTCCATTAGGCACTGGTACCTCTGCCATCACTATGCTTTCAAGATGTAGTGAAACAAGAGATGTCTGTGATTCTATGTTTAGATGACCACAGCATAAAATTGAGATTAAATTTCTATTCCCCATTTAAATTTTTCCTTGCATGCTTTAAATGAACGGAAAGCAGCTCTCAGCACTTCTAGGTACCTCCTCTGCCTAGGAACCTGGAAGCAGATTTTGATTCACAGATGCCTCTTGCTCCTTGGATCAAATGTGCTGCCAGGACTGCTAGACAGGAGCTGTCTTAACAGCTTTAGTGCACTTGGATTTGTCCCTGGCTGCTAATGCCTTGATTGGTGCTATTGAAATCTCTTTTTAAACATATGGTAATACATTCCTCACTGATATCCCTGCCTTTCAAAACTCAGACCTGGAGCCATCATTGTCTGTAGTAATTTCATTCTGTTCCTTCTGCTTTACTGCCTCCCCAGTCTGGCTCTGATGAGGAATTCATGTAACTCACTAACTCCAGAGCAAATTTTGATTAGTTTTTGAATTAAAAAATGTATTTTCTATTAGGAAGCCTTGCAAGCTCAGCCTGGCATCTGATATTCAAATGACCTCTGGATGCATCACCAATAATGAAGACTCTAGATGTCAAGGCTGGGAGTGCACTAATCAGCTTTAATTGCCCTGACAAGTCTCATGTGGGACTCACATTCACTCCCTCTGCCAGGAGCTCTATTTAACCTCCAACCCCAGGGACCTTCAGTTCTTGCCCGGGTCATGTTGTAAGTGAGCCTGTCTCAGCCCTGCTCCTGAACTGGCATTGGGCTTTTCCTGGTTGACCTTGGAGCTGGTGTGTTGACAGGACCTGTTGCCACCACCACCCTAGTCATGTTCTGTGCTGTAGGGCTGCTCCTGGCTCCCCTTCTGTGAGAGCAGCCCTGCTCTCACCGCTTCCTCACACTGGCAGCCAGAAACACACTACAGCTCTGGTAGGTTTTTCAGTAGACAGAAAACTCTTACTGGATTGTTTCATTAAGTGTTTGAGAGATGAGTACAGATAATCTTATGGGCTCTAATTCTTATGCTGCTTGCTGTGAAATAAACCCAAAAGCAGTATTTGTAAGTATGAGGTCTCGAGCTATATTAGACCTCTAGTGGGGATGAGCCGAGTGCTGGGATTGACTGACTCTGGGATGCCCAGTCCAGTCATCTCCCAGTTGTCTCCAGCTGGGCTCCACTGCTGCAGGAGGAAAACACTTTTTCACTTCAGGCTGTTGCACTGCAGCACTCGGTGTACAGTAGTTTTAGCCATAATTCTCCTTAGAGAGATGCTGGGCTCTAATCTGCATTCTTGGAATAGCACAAACAGACCTGTCACTTCATGCGTTCAATGGGATGGCATTTGGGAATCGTGATGGGTCAACAGACCAAGTGCATGACAAACATGTTCCTTTGTGCTCTGAGAGGACAGTAGGCATGCTGGGGAGATCAGGTTGCTGTCAGAAAACATGTTCTGTCTGATCCCATCCCAGGATTTGTTGCACTGAATAAATGAGGATATGTTGGTTTCCTTTCCCAAAGTGGAAACGGGTGATACTGTGATGTCTATACTCAGCACCTGCAGACAGCTGGTGCTTTTGAGCCAGTAGCTCTCCATAAGGCTTGTCAGAGAAGACATACATGGAGCTGGCCTTTGGGATCTAAAATTTGCTCTCTTCCTTCACAGAACAACTTCCCACCAGCACCTACCTAACGGTGCGCTGCAGAACCGGTTTAAATGCTCAGCCAAGCCGGCAGCAGCCTTCCTGACAATCACTGAGGAAGACCACTCGGTTTACGTGCTTTTGCCTGGGATCCTGTATGCTTCCAGGGTCTGTAGTGTTCTGAGGGGTTGGTTGGTTTTGGCAGGTTTTTTGGTGCCTGAAGAGAGGTACTGGAGAAAGAAGACTCCTCTGCTGGTGGGCAGTGACGACAACAGCTCTTGGGATGTGGATGGAGGGAAGGGGAAAAAGTTCAATGCACAGAATTAAATGCTATTGTGGCCTGGGTGGGCATAGCCTCTTCTGGGGACACAGAGGGCCTTTGGATACGGGCGATGACTGAAACGCCCCTTCAGAGGTGAGGGAAGGATCTCCCTGTGAGGGTGCTGAGGCGCTGGCACAGGGTGCCCAGAGAAGCTGTGGCTGGCCCATCCTTGGCAGTGTTCAAGGCCAGGTTGGACACGGGCTTGGAGCAAGCTGCTCTAGTGGAAGGTGTCCCTGCCTGTGGGACTGGACTATTTTAAGGTCCTTTCCGACCCAAACCACTCTATGCTCCCTCCATCTGTGTCATCCTGCAGGCGCCTAAAAACCCTTTACCCTGCATCCACCTCAGCGGAGCAGCTGCCCCTCAGGCGGCTGTCTGCGGGCTGGGGCGCTCCTGAAATGCATCGTTTATCTCCCCTCTTTTGGGAGAAACCTCCTAAAAGTCTCAAGAGTATTCCCGGGGGCACACAGGACCAAGGGGGTTTGTGTGAGGCGCCGCCGGGCCCGTACAGCCCGGCGGGAAGCTCCGACCGACCCCAAGAACCTCGAGGAAGATGGCCGCGGGGCTGAGGAGCCCCTGCCCGTCTCTCCCTTGCGGGCGGTGATTGGCGGCGGCGCTGGCGGGGGCGGGGCGGCGGGGCGGGGCGGCGCCCAGAGCGCCGGGCGGCAGCAGGTGGCTCCTCTCCTTTCCCCGCCGCGCCGCTCCGCGCTCTCGCCTCGCCTCGTCTCGCCCTGCCGCCTCACCGCGGCCACCGCCGCAGCCAAGACGCCGCGGGCCGTGCTCCGAGTGAAGAATGGGGCGGCGAAGCTGGCCAAGCCGCCGCCGGCGGCCGGCGAGACCCCCGGCGGCGCCCCCGGACCCGGGCTCTTCATGGAGCGGTCGCAGAGCCGCCTCAGCCTGTCCGCCTCCTTCGAGGCCCTGGCCATCTACTTCCCCTGCATGAACAGCTTCGACGAGGAGGACGCGGGTACGGGGGTTGAAGCGGGCCTTGGTCGCGAGTGGGGCTGGGGGGCGAGTGGCGGTGGGAGGGGTGTGTGGGGCGGGGAGGGCGCCCATGGCAGCTGTGGGGCAGGGGTGCCGGTGGGGCCGGTGTCCAGCACACGCGTGTCCAGCCCTCGGACGCTGTGGGAGCGGTGCGGCCATGGGGTGGGCAGGAGCGGGGGGTTTGTGCCGTGTGTCGGTACTGCCCTGACCCTGCCGAAGGGTACCAGGTTTCCAGTCCATGGGAAGCGTGAGCTTGTGGTGATGAGAAGGGGGAATTTATTCATGATGATGAAATGTACTCCCTCTTCTCGTCAATAGGGAAACCGGGGCGTTTGCAGTGGAGTGGCTTACGCTCCTGGTCTGCCTCTTGTGCCAGGCTGTGTAGAGCGGTGAAGGGCAATGCTTGGGGGAAGGCATCCCTTCTGCTGGACAGTGTGTTCAATCTGTGCTGATTTATACACAGTGAGCTAATTGTTTTGAGGGGTCGTTGGCACCATGTACCATGCTGTAAACGGGATTCTGTTTAAATGAGGGTGAAGTAGATCACAAAACACGTACAGAAGCCTGTCGGAATGGATGCAGCGATTTCTGCCCTCTTCACAAAGACGTTTCTGGTCTCAGAGTGTTGGCAGTGGTCATAAAACGAGATTAAGCTTTAAAAAGAGGGACATTGGTGAGGAAAAGTAGGTAAGAAAGAGGGTTGAACAGGAAAGGAAGGGCACTGGTGCTGGAGAAGGTGCTGGGAGTGGAGGGCAGTGCAGCAGCTGTGAGAGTAGGGAGGACATCCGAGAGAGTGGATGGAGAGTGGCAGAGAAACGCTGTCCATTCTGTCTCACTTATAAACGAGGGATGTTTTTTACAGTACACACAGTACCAGAGACTGAACCTGTAAGCGAATCTTCTGAGCAGCATATAATGAAAGTTGGTAACTAAGGCGTATTTTAACACTGACTGTCATGGTTGCATCCCTCAAAATGCCGGCATGCTTCTTTGTCTAAGGGGCTCATCCCAAGATGTGCAGATGCCAGGAGGGATAGATGGGCAAATCAGCCCGCTGATTGCTACACCTGTAACATTATTGTTTCCAGAGGAATTGACGTAAGAATAAATTCATCATCTGTGTGATTAACCTAGGATTGTCATCAGCATCATGCAGGGGTGTCAAGCAGAAAATTGTCTCCTCCAACAGATGTATTTATTTAAATCTTGTTCTTGAAATTTTGCTGATGATTTATTTGCTTCATCTTTGGTTCCATTGCTGGGGAGTGCTAAGACAATAATGGGAGCTTTGGGAAGTCTCGGCGCTGTTGCTTCAGCAATGATTGATAGCGAGACATGCTGGAGTATGAGGACTCTGCACAGCAGCGTTTCATTCCCCAGTGTCTGGCCCTTCTTGCTCTGAGCAGGATGATGGCTTAAGTGAATGCTCCTGCTTCAGCCCTTCCAGTGCAAATTCATTTTTCTATTTATTCATGCTTATTGAATGCTCACGCATGAATGTTAATAGGCTGCTCTTCATACAATACGACTACTTGTTTCTGAATTAAGTAAATCTACAATTAAGACCTCATTCTCCAGCAGCTTATTAATGGATTTTGCCTGCTTGAGTTAGTCTCGTTAGTAAAGCTGCTTGGGGTAATGTTCAGTGCAGCGGGGACATTGCAGCACTGCTCCTGCATTCTGTGCCTATGAGTGTGTATTCAGACACGTATGAGCAATCAGCAAGGAAGAACGTGTGCTGCTTTGAATGTTTGTGCATTAAAACTACAACCGTATAATTTTCTCAAGAAAATAAATGCCATGAAAGAGAAATGGTAGAAGAAATGCTGAAGTTGTGCCAGACAAGGTTCTGTATTATTCATTCTCATGCATGCTCCTGAAATTGAGAGATTCTGACCAGTTTGGGTTGCAGTGTGATTTCTGTCAAAAAATAGATTTTGATGGCTCATTCAGGGAGATGAATACTGCACTTGGCAAGATGTTCTCCATAGGAGATGGCAAGAAAAAAGAAAAAAATTGATCCCATGAGCACTGACAAAGTAAACAATCTTATTTCCAACAGACACATCATCCATTTTGTCTGAAGCTGAGAACCACATCTTTAAGAGGATAGTCATCCTACAGAAAAGGAGAGTAGTTGATAAATGGCCAAGCTTAAAAGAAACTTGATGTTTTCCTCTGAAAAGGGAAACGAGCCTAATGAGAGCTCAAATCTACAAACAGAAGAAATTCTTGAGGTGTACATTTAAGTTACTACGTTAGGGTCATATTAAAGGAGCATAAAAGGAATTTTGAAGGAGTGCTTATGCTGAAAGCCACGGTGATGTGGAAACAGCTAGCCATATCTGGCCAATGGTAAGGGTACCTCTGGGTTCCAACATTTCCCATGTTTGGTCTTGGAAAATAGCTCTGCTTTTGAGAAAAATGCGTTTACTTATAGAATATTTCCTTTTCTGCCATGTTCCTTTTGTTCTTCTTTGCTGTCTGCCTTCTGGACATTAGGTGAGAGGACTTCTCATCTTCCACAGCTCTTCTGCCTGCTGCCCCACCAGTGTGTCTGGACTGAGTTCTAGATGATGAAGTGGATGCAGATGATATCCTGGTTGTATTTTGGTGTGCAGAGCAGGCAGCCAGTGTAGGCAGGAGAGCAATAGAACCTGGAGCAAGAAATGGGGTTGCTTCTGAATGCTTCCAGAGTGTGAGGTTGATTGAGTTTCAGATGTGTCCTGTGGCAGATAAGGCCACGTGCAAGCCTCTCCAAAGAGGTGGATGTGGACTCCTACATTGTAATACTGTTTTCATTCCTCTGCTGCATGTACAGAGAGGATACTCTGAGCAAACACTGAGCTCTGTTCACCAGTAAGGTGCAGTGGGGCTTTAAAATAACAGAAATTACTGTCTGCAGTCAATAGTGTAAGGACTCTGGGTTAATAACTCTCTTGATCTCTGTGTGGTAATGTTGCTCTCCTTCCTGCTGGCTGAGTGCTACTATCTTCGCTCCATTGAGGTCCCCAGTAATGTCAGTGAAGTTAAGGAGTTTTAAACTGTGGCTATCATCATCATCATAATTGTTGGTTTAACTTACGCAAATTATCTGTCCTGAGCTCTGATAATTTTTCAGTTATGGAGTAGTAGACTGCAAAGAGGTAAAAGTCCATCAGGCACTCTTTGTGGGCATGTAGAAATGTGAGCCTTAAATCAGTGCCCATTTCTAACAGTGTGAACACAAATCTTAGCTGTCATGAGGATCTGCCATACACTTAGTCTTGGCTGGAATCAGCTGTTCAGTACACTGGTATTCATCTGGCAATGCTGCAAAGGACCAAACTGCCAAGGACCAAGTTGCCAAGTGGCAAATTTGTATGGGTTAATAATAGGGTGTTGAGGATCCGTGATGGCTGTGGGGACCTGCCTTGTAGGTGGCGCTGGAGTCCTGGGTGCAGTTTGCAGCTGTGAGGCTGTGGAATGGGGTGTATCAAATCCACCTCTGACAGCAGCCATAGAGCAGACCTGCCCACTCCAGGATGAGGGCATCCGTAAGTTTAAATATATAAAGGGGGAGTGTCACGAGGATGGAGCCAGGCTCTACTCAGTGGCAAACAATGATAGGACAAGGGGTAATGGGTGCAAACTGGAACACAAGAGGTTCCACTTAAACTTGAGAAGGAACTTCTTCTCAGTGAGGGTGACGGAACACTGGAACAGGCTGCCCAGGGAGGTTGTGGAGTCTCCTTCCCTGGAGACATTCAAAGCCCGCCTGGACACATTCCTGTGTAACATTATCTAGGTGTTCCTGCTCTGGCAGGGGGATTGGACTAGATGATCTTTTGAGGTCCCTTCCAATCTCCAGCATACTGTGATACTGTGTGAAATGGGGATGTGTTTGCTGTCATGGAGGAAAACCAGCTTGTTCAGTGGGAAGAGCATGAGGTTTGGAAAGCTGGCTAAAGCAGGACAGAAAGTGAGGTTTTGGTAGAGAGCAACAGCAACTGACTTGGAGCTGCACATGCAAAACCCAGCAAGCTTTGGGCAGGAGAGGGAAGGTGGTTTTAGTCACAAGGACAGTAGGTGTAATGGTGGTGGACCTGCCAGGAGTCAGGAAGCCAGAAGAGCTCTGAACTTCCAGATGAGGACCCTGTGTACTTCAGAGCACAGAGACTGTACCTAAAGAAACACAGGCAGGGAAATGTGAAATATTGCTGAGAGGATGGGATTTCCTTAAGCTCCTGCGTCTAAGCTGCAGGATCCAGGGGTACTTCTCAGGCCTGGGTGTGTGCTCCAGCTGTACTTTGGCTTAAGTGGGTGAGATGCAGTAAGACACCAGTTCCTTTCTGTTTCACCCTACACCCTGGTTTTCTAAGGAAGGACACCCAATTGCAATGGCAGAAGGCACCTGAGGTATGCCCGGACAGGGGTACAGGTTTGGGTGATTGGGAGACTATAGCCATTGGTCATGTTGCAAAAGCAGATACAGTCCAAATACAACTTGAGCATCTGCACAAGAGGAAACACATATTTCTTACGGGGATCTTATACCCATGGAAGTGGGGATAGCAGGGATGCTTTGATCAGGAAGCGGGAGAAGGTACAGAATAGCTGTGAGGTACGTGCATGAGTTCTGTGGGTCAGGACCCCAGCACAGGGACCTTGGCTTGGTGAGCTTGGCTCACCTCTGCCCTGGCTGCAAGACAGTTGAATCAAATTGTGTCTCAGCCAGCTGGAACCAAGTGTCTGGCAGAGAGAAAATGGTTTCCAAAGTCAAAATGTCTCCTAGATACTGATGGTAAGCCTTCCTCGTGTCAGCTGCTCCTTCAGAAGAGAGTTGAGTTTGAGATAAAATTCAGCCTAAGCTGCTACTTTCACACACTATAAAGTACTGGCAGGTTCACTGTGCTACAGGCAGTTGCTCTGAAGAGAAGCTATGTGAAATACTAATTTAATGGGTTGAAAAAAACATGTATAACATCGGGGTGGAAGAACGTG